CAAACAGCACCACACCAGTGGAGGATACCATGTTAGTACATGTGCAGTGACCGTTCAGTTGGTATTCAACATGCATTTTACTCTGCTGTCTCGATACAGATTTTTATTTTATTTTATTTTATTTTGTTTTATTTTATTTTATTTTGTTTTATTTTGTTTTATTTTGTTTGCTCTACGAGGTGCAGCCGTGAGCCAATGGGAGACGGGTGCGGCGTGTGACGTCAGACGCAGGGGGCGGGCCCGCCGGGCACGCACGGCGGAGTGTGTCGCTCCGCTCCATTGACGCGGCTCCGCGGGTCAGAGGAGGTGCAAGCGGGAGAGAGGGCGACCGAGCCGGGGAGAGCGAACTTCACAGAGACCCTTCAGCTCCAGCGGCTCCACTGCGCTGGACCCCCCACACGAACTTTGACACCGGTTTATCCCCGCTGACGTCCCCGCACAAGAGCGACGGTGCTCGCTCTCGGAGCCGGCGGAAGGTGCGGCGGAGGCGGCGGCGGCGGCGGCGCGGGGCGAAGGTACTGAGGGAGGGAGGGAGGGGGCGAGCCCGGTGAGGGAGTAACCGTTGAGCCGGAGAACCGACCGGAGAGAAAGGTGACGGTTCATCCGAGGGGGACGCGGAGACAGGCGGACCGGCAGCGACGAGGACTCGGTTGACGGACTCAGCCACAGGTAGCTCCCTCCTCCCCCCCACCGCGGCAGCAGCACCACCGCGGCGGAAGAAGCAAAGTGCCCGGCGGGTCATGCGGATTCCTCCGGTTCGCCGGTCGGAGCGGTGAGTCGCAGCTGTAGCAGCCGAGACGAAGACGAGAAAGAGGCAGAACACAGAAGAACCACACCGGCCCCGTCTCTTCCAGCTCCGGCAGTCCGTCCCAGCGGACTCCTGACCAGGGGGGAAGAGAGCCACCATGTCCCGGAGGAAGCAGAGCAAACCCCGGCAGATCAAGCGTAAGGAACAAGTTCATTACCTGGTTGTTGTGGGTCGAAGACGCGTGTGTGTGCTTCTACCACGTGTGTGTGTGTGTGTTTATGTGCAGTGTGTGTCCGTGTGACCATCCGACACAAAGTTCAGAGGATCGGCTGTAACCGGCCTGTGAACCCGGGGCGAGCACCTGACCTCCCCCGGTGTGTCCGTGACTCGGTGTGGTTAAAAACAAACAAACCGGGACTCGAACACATCACTTCAACAACACCAGCGACAGAAACCAGCGGAGCTCTCTTAGAATAAACCTCAGAGAATAAACACGCTGGGTTTTTTATTTTGCTGTTTTCACTTTAACTTGACGCTTGAGCTCTTTCTGGTTCGTCGCGCTGTGTCTCTGTGAGTGTGAGTGTTCTGCTGGTTAAACTTTGAATTCATTGTCCTGCAGAGAGACAGACAGAGACAGACAGAGACAGGGACAGGGGGGGGGGGGGTTGTCCGGTTGGCAGCTGATTCTGAAGCCGTCGCCGCCGCTTCCTGTTTAATTCTGTTGTGGAAACGTCAGTGTTCTCTGAAAAAGCCGATGTGAGCAGAGATAAAGCAGCGATCCGATGTGAGCTGAGATAAAGATTAAAATTGGATCT